GCCAGCCTTCAGCACTCTGAGCTTGGGGGTTGTCTCGGCTTCGTGGTTCCTACCCAGCCTACAGCTTCCAAGCAGGCTTCTGTTCTGGGAATTCGTTAAATCGTGGCCTTCTCTTGGCTCTAATTTGAGCACTTTTTACAGAATTTTTAATTTCAAATTTAGAGTGTATTTAACTTTTCCAACACAAGCGCAAATTAGATTTCTCTTTTTTGCTTTTTTTTTTTTTTAATTTATTTATTTCTTCCATGAGAGAAACTAGCAGAGAGGAAGCAGGCAGCCCCAATAGGGAGGTCTTCATACTGCCATCCGCCCCCGTCTCAGCCAGCCAGGACCTAGGTCCACACTGTGTACTAGGAGGACCCAGGACCTGAACCAGGAACTTCCCATGGTGGCATTGCAGTGTGACGTGTTCACCACCATGCTGTCTGCCCTGTATTTCTCCTGTGAATACCATGTTGGCCAGTTTTAGGTGGGACTTGGTGAAGGAGAGGAATTGGCCACTGGGTTTTACCAGGCTTTTCTGCTGGCCATCGAGCCAGCCATTCCTCCCTGAGGTGGTTATGGGGTGCTCACCATGCCCTGCCCTTTCCTCACCATCACCTCCGCCAGGGCCAGGTCCGGACCACTGACTGCAGACTACAGCAGATGGGTGAGGGACTTGTGATCCCATCAGTTCCTCATGTTTAAAGTAATTGTGAACAGCTGCCTGTTTTTAGTGGCGTTGATCCTCTGTGTAGCTCTGTGCTCAGGCTCTCCCCTCCGTTTCGGTTTCACACTGACTGCATTTGTCACCCTGTGTGCTGTCTGGCGTGGGGGCCCCCCTGGCTCTACTCTGTGTGTTAGGCAGGGAGAGTGAATCGCAGACCACTGGAGGCCAGTGGGGGTGGGGGGGATGGAGCAGGGAGGCATGAGAACTGGGGTGGGAGAGGATGAGATGGGCTCGAAGGTCTGTCTTGGAGCGTTTATGGGTACACTTACTGGGTTCCTGGGCTCCGTATGTTAAGTAAAACCCCTGCTTCCAACCTCCACATGGAAGTGTTGAGGCCCCTGTGCTTTTTGCATGGGGAATAGAAAACTTCAGACTTTTCAGCATTTTTAAAAGTGATTGCTCTGCTTACTTGTGGAAATGGACACATTTCATTTTAGAGTTTTTATTTGTTCTTTGTGCTCCTTCTGACTATAGAGGTCTAACTATTAAAAAAGATGCATGGGAAATACAAATAAATGTGATTTTACCCTTTTCCTCCCATTTTCTGTTTTCCCCCGCTTTTGAAGTGAGGAGGGGACACAGTGTATAGTAAGATGAACCAAATGAGAGTTTTTAAAAATTCTATTATCATTTGCTCTTAAAGGGTAAACCTGTATTTTAGGACTAGATGCCTTTAAGGATTTAAATTGCATAGACATATGAAGAACGATAGTTTGTATCAATAATGTATGAATGACTAGAACTGTATCTTCATCAGTCTTGGAGGGTTTTTTCTTCTTTTTATTTTTTCTTTCGGAGAGGTTTTCACTATAGGGCGCATGCGCTCACCAGACAGACAGAGAGAGACATAGAGACAAAAAGCGAGAAATCACCCCCCCCCCAGGGGGAATGGTCACGCCGCAGTCCCTTCTCCTCCATTCTCCTCTTGGGATCTTGGGCATGCACGCACATGCACCCGGTGTGAGTTTTAAGCCACCAGGTCGGGGACGCGAACCGCGGTCGACTAGGTGGGAGTCCAGCGACATAGCCATTACACTAACTGCTGGTTCCCAGTTTTGGAGGTTTTTGACCAAATATATTTTATACTAAAACCTACCCAACAGGTTTTTAAAATTATAAATGCTTCCCTTTAAAATAAAGGAAGATCCTAGCTCTCTAAATTTTATAAAGATGCTTAATCCTAAAGCAAATTCCCCTTGTTTTGTGACATGAATTACTGCTTAAAAGTCATTGTTAAATTATTTATCTTGAGTCAAATGAAGAACATAGACTGTTTCCAACTATTATGTTTAATTTGTGACTAAAATCTTATTTTCAGGGAAAAAGTATAAGGTTTTGATTTACCAATTTACAAAATAAATTGGTTCCCAGGCAATCCTTGAAGAACTTTCCGTGGTAACAATCTTGGTTAACTAATGTGCATTATGTCCCTCGAATCTTGGTATTTTGGTGCCATCTTGTGGCTTTCTCTTGTAGTGACTTAAACACTCAAACTTCTGTTGTTGTTAGAGGGCATGTGTGCTCATCAGAGAGAAAATGAGAAGGTACCCAAGGGGGGGGGGGATGGTCATGCCATAGTTCTTTCTCCTCCGTTTTCGTCTCAGGGTTCTGGGCATGCACACACGTGCCTGTTGCGTTTTTCAAGCGTCCAGGTCCAGGGCTCAAACCATGTAGTTGGCCATGTCTAATTCAGCTGCCTTAACCGTCATGACACTGGCTAGCCCCCAAGTTTGTTTAAATGCCTTTGGCAGGAGAAAATATCCCAGGAAGTCTGTGCAAAATGCAAATCATGTATGAGGAACACTCATAAAGTTTATAGAAAAATAGAATGAAAGTGGAAGTTTATTTTGGTGCAGAATTTTTTGAAATCGCTATGTAGTTTTTTCTTTACGCATTTTCCATGAACTTTTTGAATAACTACAACTCTATGTAAAAATGTCGAGAATGACTTGCTGTTTGATCACAGTGTAGGCAAGAAGTAGTAAGTAAGAAATCTACTAGTGGTTCTCAGCTTCTAAAATTCCATTGTTGCGCTTTGTCCCTAGTTGCTGCTGTTTGAACGGTCGTGGATGAACAGGTGGAAGTCTTCCGTCCTGCATGAAGGGGAAGGGAACATTCGGAGTGTGAAGTGGAGAGGCCATCTGATTGCTTGGGCCAACAACATGGTAAACGCATGTCTCGGTTTTCCTGGTGCTTGTCCACTGACGGAGGGGTGGCCAGTTGATAGGGATTCCACAGAGGGAACGAGGCTGCTCTTCGCAGTCATCGTTTCTAAAGGATACAAATGGCAGTTGATAATCTTACCTGGAAGGTGAAAGACATTAGATTGCTCTTGGCTTTCATAACATAGTAATTCCCAACATATTCTAGACTTTATTTTAGAGTAAGAAACCCGAGGCATGGAGAGTAGCTAAGAAAGTGAAGAGCCATCCAAATCATCGAAGGGCTGCACTGGGGATGTGGTCTTGCAAGTGCCCTTTGCCTATTGGCCAAGGGCAGAACCGTTGATATGAGACAAGTGCAGAATATTGCTCTTTCTCTTACTCTCACCATGATCACAGCTACAATACAGGCTTGCCTTTAAGAGAGTGGGAAAGTGGGTTGTGCGTTTCTCTGTTGCACTTATTTAAAATTTGCTCTATGCTGATTGGGTAGAAAGGTTTTTTTGGTTGTTTTATTTATTTATTTATTTATTTTTATGTCTGACTTATCTTCTGGAACTTTAAGGTGTAATTTAATAAGTCTATGCAGTTTTAGTGGTACAAAATCTCCCCAGAATCTACCTCAACAGTGAGAACTTTTATTACTTCTCCTGGGTCACAGTAAAAGTAAACAAAACTGGCCTCTGGGTTCCTGTTTTAGTTAGCTGCTTGCTCGATGTTTCTTTACATTTAAGAACTTTAAAATGTCAGGTGTGGTTTTCTTTACATAGGTGGTTTTTCAGATTCAAAACCTTTCTGAAAAACACAGTTAGAAATGTTACTTGTCTGTCAGTTTAGAAATGCTGCTATTCTTTGTCCATTTCACATTGTATTTGACTCGCCAGCCAGTAACAGAATCTTCTTTGTCCATAGAGAAGGGTGGAAGTTTCTTACGTTTTTGATTCTTACAGGGCTTGTGTAGAGGACGAACATTTTCCTTTGCATGGCTCCTTGCTGTGCTCAATAAACACTCTCAATATCTTGCATGCTGGTTATCAGTGGTATGTAGCAGGGGCTGCTAATAAATTTTGTTTCCTTTCCTTCTCTCAAGTAGAGGATACTCAGTGCTCTTTTATTTTCCAGGGCGTGAAGATTTTTGATATTACCTCAAAGCAAAGAATCACCAACGTGCCCCGGGACGATATAAGTCTTCGCCCGGATATGTATCCCTGCAGCCTCTGCTGGAAGGACACTGTGACCCTGATCATCGGCTGGGGGACTTCTGTCAAGGTGCTTTCGCTTGTCTTTAGAATACACCCTTGTTGTGATACATCCACTGAGGGTGGTCCAATGGAATGCGAGTTCTGAAATAGCTTCTAGGAACCCGAATGTCACCACCGCACTGTCACTGCAGTGTGATCACTGCTTAATGCTCAAATCATTTCTTGTGCACAGGTCTTAAAATAGCTCCTTTCCACGCCATGGAAAGCAATTCATGAACTCCCCGTGTTCAGGATGGCGCTGCCTCATTCCGCCATGGAAAGCAATTCATGAACTCCCCGTGTTCAGGATGGCGCTGCCTCATTCCGCCATGGAAAGCAGATCATGAACTCCCCGTGTTCAGGATGGCGCTGCCTCATTCCGCCATGGAAAGCAGTTCATGAACTCCCCGTGTTCAGAATGGCGCTGCCTCGTTCCTTCTTCATTTAATTTCCCACAGCCCAGCTGCCTTAGCTGTTTATGGCACATGTGCTTATTCGTCTTGTTGGTTGGGCCAGTTTTCTTCTATTATCAATTTATTCTATTTCCCTTAGCTTCTCCATTAGAGTTATTGAGGGTCGATCAAGAAGATTTTCAAACTAAATCCTCTCCTGCTTGCTTGGTAATAAGTTGATGGAGTGGAGGCTCAGACTCATTATCAGTAATAAGATTTGAAAGTATTTTCTGGCATATGATTATCTGACCCTCATGTCTTTAGAATACACCCTTGTTGTGATACATCCACTGAGGGTGGTCCAATGGAATGCGAGTTCTGAAATAGCTTCTAGGAACCCGAATGTCACCACCGCACTGTCACTGCAGTGTGATCACTGCTTAATGCTCAAATCATTTCTTGTGCACAGGTCTTAAAATAGCTCCTTTCCACGCCATGGAAAGCAATTCATGAACTCCCCGTGTTCAGGATGGCGCTGCCTCATTCCGCCATGGAAAGCAGTTCATGAACTCCCCGTGTTCAGGATGGCGCTGCCTCATTCCGCCATGGAAAGCAGTTCATGAACTCCCCGTGTTCAGAATGGCGCTGCCTCGTTCCTTCTTCATTTAATTTCCCACAGCCCAGCTGCCTTAGCTGTTTATGGCACATGTGCTTATTCGTCTTGTTGGTTGGGCCAGTTTTCTTCTATTATCAATTTATTCTATTTCCCTTAGCTTCTCCATTAGAGTTATTGAGGGTCGATCAAGAAGATTTTCAAACTAAATCCTCTCCTGCTTGCTTGGTAATAAGTTGATGGAGTGGAGGCTCAGACTCATTATCAGTAATAAGATTTGAAAGTATTTTCTGGCATATGATTATCTGACCCTCATGTGCCTGGGTAAATGAAATTTAGCTGTTTTACAAAAGGAGGCCCAAAGCTCATTCACATTCGTGTCCTGCCAGCCAGTGTTTCGATTACATTAGCTAGTAGAGAGCCGAAAGTATTGCTTCTCTGTAAAAAATGTTGCTTAATGTACATGAGACAAGCTGAAAATGAACGGAAGGAAACCTGAAACCCGCAGGTATCCCAGCAGAAGTCCGTTAGAAAAGTTCAGGATGGGATCAGTTCTGAGTCCTCCATTTACCTCCCATGTGACCTCTAAGATTACTCTTCCCCTCTACTAAATGTTATCATAAGTTTTGGGGAGAAGAAAAGGTAGTGCACCTAAAGAGCTCACTTAGCATAGAATGTGACATACAGTAGTCCTTTCTTACTCATATTTTTGTTTTGTGAGGTTTCATTTAGTTACCTATAACCAACTGTAGTCCTAAAATATGTGAGTACAGCACAGTGCAGTGAGATTTTTGGGAGACAGAGACCACATTCACATAACTTTCATTACAGTATACTATTATAAATGTTCTATTTTAATATTCGTTATCATTACTCTCTTACTGTGTGTAATTTATAAACTAAACTTTATCATTAAGGAAAAGAAACCGTGCAGGTTAGGCATCCCTAATTTGAAAATCGGAGATCCAAAAGGCTCTATAATCCAAAACTTTTTGAGTGGCAATATGATGCCACAAGTGGAAAACTTTTCGCCTGATCTCAGGTAATGGGTTGTAGTCAAAACAGTGCAGTACAAACTTTCTATGAAATTAACTTCAGGCTATGTATATAAAGTGGATATGAAACAGATGAATTCTGTATTGAGACTTGGGTCTTATTCCCAAGATATCTTATTTTGTGTATGTATTGGGTTGTTAGAAAAGTCATGACATTTTTTTCTATGCAAAAATGCATCATGACTTTTCCAGTGACCCAATATATGTAAATATTCCAAAATCCAATGAAGTTCAAAGTCTGAAGTACTCTAGTCCCAAGCATTTCAGACAAGGGCTACCCAACCTGTTTACATAGGATTCAACACTATCCACAATTTCAGGCGTCCACTGCGAGTCTTTAAGTATATGCCCTGCAAATAAAGGGGGACTACTGCATTGCATTTGGTTAATAAATGTTACTTGCCATTGTGGTTACAATGTAAAGTTCTGGAAAAGTCATGAAAGAAACTGGAAGTTGAAACAGCGAGCAGTTGCGTTTTCATGAGTTAAATGAATACAGCCTAATTTATACTTAGGGCAACAAGAAAGAAATTGTGCCTATAAGTGTAGGATTTTAAAGATGGTTTCCCAGTCTCCCTTTCCTACATTTGTGATTACTCATCCAATAAACAGATTCTTGATATTTCAAGAGCACTTAGTGGCTTTCTCCTTTGTTTAGAGTTGTGATTCCCTTTTCTTACGGGAAAAGACAAGAAAACCAGACTGTGGAGACACATTAGAAGTTCGCTGATTGCTACTAGGAATGTTTTCTCTAGTGGGATGCATAACGGCCTCAAGGATAGCAGGTCCTAATTCCGGGAACCTGTAAATATTTCATTATACGACAAGAGTGAATACTACTTTATGTGGTAAAGGATGTGATTAAGGGGGCCAGCAGGTGGCATAGACTCCCACACGGCTGACCACAGTTTAAGTCCCAGACCCGGTGGCCTGAAACTCGCACTGGCTGCATGTACTTGCATGCCCCAAATCCCCAGACGAGAATGGAGGAGAAGGGATTTTAGCATGGCCATCTCCCCAGGGGGTGATATCTTCCCTCCGTCTCTCTTTCTCTCTCTGTCTCTCCAGCGAGTGCACATACCCTATAGTAAACAACAACAACAACAACAGCAAAAATCCTCGAAAGGAAAAAAAAAAGATGTGGTTAAGAATCAAGTTGGGGATCGTTAGAGGAGAAGACTACCTGGTATTATCTGAGAGGTTCCTAGATGCAATCACATGAACTCTTTGGAGAGAAGAGAAGGAAGATACTTCCAAAGAAGACAGAAGGCTATGCCAAAGGGGCCAAGGACAGAACCCCCTGGAGCCTCTGTAGAAAGTGCAGGCCTGTCAACACCTTGATTCCAGCCCTGTGAGCTGATTTCAGACTTCCAGTCTATAGAATTGTAAGAGAACCAATTTCTGTTGTAAACCACCAAGTTTGTGTAGTCCATTGGAGCAGCCTCGGGAAGTGAATACCCTTTCACTATGCTCAATTTAAGATCCAATTTATATGAAATTTTCTCTCTTTTTTTCCAAGCTTATTTATTTATTTATTTACTTATTTATTCTATGAATGAGCAAGAAAGAGATACAGGCACCCCCAGCAGCCCTAATGTTACAGTCCATTCCCAGCCCTCAGCCAGCTCCAAAACATGAACAAGTACATGCTTGGCATACTCAGGGAGGTCTCTGGACTTGAACCCAGAACCTTCTCATGTGGTTGGGATTGTTCCCAGCGCATCACAGGTTCTAGCTGTACCAGTATCTGGCAGTGTAATGTAAGGAAACAAAGGTTTCATCTTCCTGGGGTTTCCTTCTCTTACACTCAGTTACGTCTTGAGCACTTCTCCATTCAGAATCTTAGTGAGTTCTGTTGAGGGATGACAAGATGAGGACATGGTCTGTTCTCAGAGAGAGAGAGCTGAATCGTTGGGAAGAGGCAACCAGCAGCAGTGAATAAAGTGTGTAGCTGGAGTTAACCATGTCATTCGTTCATCCGTTTGCCCAGTAAATATTCCCTGAGGGCCTCAGGGTTCTAGACACATAAATAGTCAGAGGAATTCCGTCTGAGAGATTGACACTTCTAGGATGGCCAAACATAAGCAAGTAAATTCACCATGTTGATCATGATGAATACCAGGAAGTGTATTTGAACAGGTTAATGGGAAGAGGCTTGGTTGGGGTAAATAATCATTTGATGCAGAGTGGTCCAGGGACAGCCTCTCTGATAACTTACATGCCATCTGGCAGAGATGTGGAGGGAGGGAGCCATGAGTTCTGTAGAGATCGAGCAGGAGCTAGCGAGGGTCAGCAGCACAGCATTGCTGAGGCAGGAGCATGTGTTGTGTTTTGAGGAAAAGCAAGGAAACCATTGTGGTCAGCATGTGGAGGGGAGAGTGGAAGATTAAACTCACGGGAGAGAGCTGTGTGTGGGGGTGGAGGTGGAGGTGGGGGAGCAGAGCAAGTTGGTGCTCACCAGCCTTTGTGAACTCTGCCCTTTAATTGGAGTGAGATGGGAAGCCTGCAGAGGGTTTTGAGCAAGGGTGTTAGTTCAGTGATCTGACTTCTATCTTTGTAAGTTCCCCTGGTCACTGTGTGGAGCCAGTAACTGAGGGGCAGTAAGGAGGGGACACTGGTTGGGGGTTACCATAGTCACCCAGTAAACAATTACGTCTTGGATCAATGTAATGGAGCAGGTGAGGAAAACCTGGATTCTGGATTTTCTTGGGGAGCAGACCCTACTTGATAGTTGGATGTGAAGTGTGAGAAAGAGAGAAAAGTCAGTAGTCACTGGAGAAACAAGTAGAAGAAGCTACTGAAGTGGGAATGGCTGCTGAGGGAGCGTAGTTATAGGGGAACATGCAGGAGCTGTTTGGGATGTGCCCCCTGGAGACAGCTGTTGTCCACTCCTGGGGCCAGCTGGATGGAGGGCATCAGTGTTTAAGGGCAAGGACCACCTACCAACGTAAAGGGCTCCAAGGATTACTGAGCTGCTCTCATGCAGGACATGGGCTTAGGGTAGCACTTACTTACCTGTCCACCCACCTGTATGTGCTGCTTCTCACCTGTGGGGCAGGGGCTGCAGTAAGAGCTCACTCAGGTCACAGAACCAAGGAGTGGAGTGGAGCCATGGTCCAGATATCCCTTGTGCCATGTGTCATCATCTGCAGAGAGATTATGACGTGGCCAGGGAGATGTAGCCAGGCCTTGTGAGTTCCAGCTGCAGCTGTGTGGTGGTGGGTACCCCACAGAGCTTTGGTTTCCTCAATTAGCAATGGTATTGCTGTCTTTCAGGGATGTCTGAGGGTTAAAGAGGTCTGGTCAGTCCTCAAGTCCTCAGCACTTCTCCAATCTCCCTGCTGCTCTCCCTCTTCCTGCCAGTTCTCCTTGGATCTGGGTTTGCCCTGGCCTTTCCTCTGTCCACATCACTGTAGCTATAATCATCTTAATTGAGGACTGGAGCCAGTAGTTGCTCACAGAGCACTGACCGATATTGTTCCTTGGCTTCCTTCTTCGTTACACCTCCAACTTTGGAACACCGCTCTGCAGGTGCATTAAAGCAGCTGTCCTCATGACGGAGTGTGCTTCTTAGATGATTTCGTAGTTCCCATAGTAAGCCTGGGAAGAAGCAGGTAACTTGTAAACTCAAAAGTCCACCATAAAGAAAAGGAAATTAGGGGAACTAGAAAAGTAGATAGGACATTGTATGAGATAGACGGGGAACAAATACAGAGACAATCAAGGGAGAGCCGGCAGTCACATCTAAGTGGAGGCTTACACCCTCAAGCCCTGCATTAGGGGAAGCAAGTATTCTCATGCATTCTCGGAGTTGCTGGCATGTTGCCAGGCAGCAATTTGGACATGTATATTAGACACACTAACAAAAAAATCTTGTAAGAGTGCACATACCTATTGATCTAGCAATTCTACTTCTAGTTTATCATAAGGAATCAAAAATGTACTTTACAAACAAAAATATGGATTGTGCTATTGCTTACAGTGGAGATGGAAACAAAAAATTCATGTCCAAGAAAGGATCAATTAAATTTTAGTATATTCATATAATAAAATACTATAAAGAATTGTGTTGTAGAAGAGTAAATACACTTTTTTTTTTTTTGGAGAGATTTTCGCTATAGGGCGCGTGCGCTCGCCTGACAGACAGAGAGAGACATAGAGACAGAAAGTGAGAAATCACCTCCCCAGGGGGGATGGTCACGCTGCAATCCCTTCTCCTCCATTCTCCTCT